CACCTGGCACTCGAGACACACTGTTCGAGCAAAAACTCTTCAAACGGAGCGAGTGTTACAGGCAGAGCTCTATTTTGTCCCGATTTGTTCAGTCCTTTGCCCGAAACCTGGCCGACACCCCCACCACTTTCCGGATCAAGCTTGTTGAACGAAAATGAGGTAGGTGAATGTCACATTGCTAGATTAAAGAAACGGAAAGTGCAGAAAGCGCGCACAGCATCTCCTACGTATACATACTAATACCTGTTACTCCCACCAGCAGTAGTGCAGTGGTGCTACAAGCCATCGCGGTTCCTTCTCATGGCTACAGTGTCATCATCTTTATTTTTGCACGCAAGGCCACAGTTGCAGCATGTTGCAGCAATTCCCGTTTCTCATCATAACTCACATTAACCATCCACCCAAGAGCCGGCCTGGCCAGCCTCGTGCAAACGCTCCTGATGGACCACGAAGGCAGCGCAGCTGAAAGGCAACATCTCATGCTCTCACACCGCACCTTGGCCCCCTTGTAGATGCGACTCCGCCTTGGTGCAGAAGCAGGTGACAACATCGCACCTGGCGACTAGCGAGGTACCAACTATCTGCCAGTTCGCACCCCTTCTGTTTCTGTGCAGCACTGTGCACTGTGCTGCTGGTGAGACAGACGTTAGCAACGGAAGAGGCTTGGCAAGCTATTCTTCACCTCTTCGAAGTTCGGGGAGTCCGCGAAGGCCAGGAGCTGCTTTTTCTCATCTGCATAGGTTCGATTGGGATCGTCATCAGCATACCAGAGGAGCTTCAGCTGATGAAGCACCACCTTCTGGCGAGTAGCGCCAAGGGGAGCTGGAGCTGCTGGAAGGTTATGTATCACTTTCACGAGCAGAGATGCCCAATCCTGACGTTGACGCCTCGTCAGCCCTCGCAGGAGCGGCTCGAGATGCTTCAAGTACATCTGCATGTGATTCCAGGTCACCTTTATCTCTCCGCTGGTTGACAAGATGTCTCTCATCTGACTGAGCAAGGTGTCTGCGATCAGCTCTTGCACGAAGCCGAGGCCGCCCAAGGCATGCTCTTGCAGGATATGGCGGGCTGACAGATGCACGCGCTCATCCGCGTGCGGGCAGTGAGACAACAAGTCAGTGAGGTTTCTGCTGACGGTTTGGTAGACGTAATCTTCAGCAAAATGGGTTGTGTCCTTTTGCGCAAGCACCAAGCACCAGTCCTGACCTGAGATGCAGAACAAGCAGGACTGCAGGAAGAAGGATCTACCAACTGAAGCTCTAATGTGAGCAGTTCGAGAGGCAATCGAAGCGCTTCTGGCATTCGACATCGTCGGGAAACGGTTCGGAGTCTGAGAGTATGCGGTCCACACCATCAGAAAACGCAACGATCGCGGCGGACCTGCGATTATCGGGATATGCATATTACGGCCCTCGCACTGCAGACAGCGCGAGCTGAAATGACACAGCTAAGGATTCGGCGTGTCCAATCTGCCAAGCTCGGCCACATGCCGTAACAAGACCTCGGCGTGACACTGGACAGAGCACTTCAATTGAAGCTTCACTGCACCCTGCACGAAGCTCTCTCAATTAGTCTTGTCCACGTGTGGGCTTAGCCCCGCCTCGGGACTCCGGGTCTGTTCGGATGTCACACGCCAGGCTACCATGTCTGGCACCTGGCAAGCGCAAGCATCTCAGCATCGCCAGGCATCGCGAGTCGCTGTCGCGCTGTGCTACCCGCTACACTTCAGGGCACTTTGCTGGCATCTGGCATTGCAGACGAGCCACAGATAAGTACTCCAAAAGAGCAGGCCTCGGCACTTGCCAAAAGAAGCTGGACCGTGCACTTGGCTTGCCTGCTCTCTGGGAACTTGCGAGGCCGAGTCGCAACATGTCGCACGCCGGGTGAAAAACATCGGCAGGAGCCTTGCGCCCGCATGCGATGTAAGCATCTGCAGGGGCCATGGACGTGTTCTTGTCGCAGTTAGATCCAGAGGGCCTTGATGTTGAGCAGCCTTGGAGGCTCCTACGGGTGAGCCGCACCAGTGCTGAAGTATTGTCGGCGAGGTCACTCTGCTTGCGTCCTTCGAAGAGCTGTCGCAAGTACTCTGAGAAGAAGGTGAAGACGCACAGCTTTCGTCTTCTTGTCCGTGCCTTGGCACACAGACCGAACCCATGAATCATCAATTGCATGCTTTGTGTGCTGCTGTTGAGTTCGTCAGGTTCTCACGCTTGGCTAAGGCAGGACTCACTTACTCCTGGGCAATCTACACCCAGCAGGGGGCAGCCTGGAGCATCTGTGGCGATCTCACTTGCCGTGCCAAAGATTTTTTTGTGTGTGGTTCGCCTCTTCCGACGTGACTCCCCTACCTGCGCCCCAGTCATCGTGCCCAGCTCCAAAGCGAAACATCAGCCGAGCAGCCGATCTCCCTGCTCCTCCTCGAAGGGCATCGTCCCACTCCGGGTCTCCGCCTCTCCCCCAAACCTTGGTCCATGCAGCTACCTTTTGAACCGGCAAAGCGGGGCAGAAAGGCTCAGCTGCGCAGCCTGGGTGATGGTATTTTTTGGAGAACGACTTCCTCCCTCTTCAGGCAGCACAGCCATAACAAGTCACCAACCTTCCTATTTTCAGGGAGTTGGGGATGGCTCAGCAACGTCTCCAGAGGCTCTCGACTCTCTCTCGACTCTCGACTTTAATCCTCCGGCTGATGGACATGCAGCGCGTCACCAGGGTTTCCAGTTACCTCGCTGCTGCGGCTTGACGGCGATGCCCTCGCAGCAGCAACATCTTGCAGGAATCTAAGGCATGGCTTGTATCAAGGTGCCATCCAAAGGCCTAGGCCTAGACATCGTGCTGAATGCAGCATTGTTTAGCATGTTTGACACAAACGGGGCGACTCTCCACTCCTTGTGGTCACGCTGCTAATCTGTGGAGTACGACGTGATTTTTGGCACGCGGAATGGGTACCCGGTACTGCGCGCTTAATGTTTCCAACGACAATTCCTTGATGGACCTTCAGGGACACCCAGGCCTCCGGCTGCTGGGGCGATTTTGGACTGGAGTGCTGCTTTGCTCATACCTGCCAGGCACCTGCGACGGCTCGCCGCCGGTGGCCAAGGGCTCCCATGCATCACATCCGCGAGCTCGTTGTTGTTGAGGTACAGCTGGCAAGCACTCCGCGCACATGAGGCCCTCGAACCATCCAGGCCTTTTTTGGGACTGGTTCTGGCGGCAGTAAGCTAGGCAAGCAAAGAGCGCTGAGACAGTACGTCCTCAACGTCGGAAACCGGTTTGTGTGCACCGACCGGAGAGGCTCCGCTCTCTTGAATCTTACCAGGTCTCAAGTTCGAAGACACCAGACTGCAACAAAGTGCTGAAGCTTGCCACGTGAAACCCCCTGTGCGGCCGAAGCGGCATCTCAACACGACTTGAGGTCCCTTCGGCCCGGAGCGCTCCAGGCAGATTTTCCTTTCGATCTACGGATCAAGATGGATGTGTTCCTGTGGCACTTATATCCGCAGGGCCTCGATGTTAGGCTGGTCGTCGTCATTCATCTCGGTCTCGTAACCGCATGCCTCAGGGCAGCTCTGGAAAATTCTGGGAAGGCGTTCAGCAGCCTCCATAGTTGATGCAAGGCAAGCAGAATGCCTCGCGGTGAGGCGCAGGGTCTGGCTCCTAACGGGTGGTGAGCCGCTCAAGTGCCGAAGTATTGTCGGCGAGACACTCTGCTTGCATCCTTCAGAGATTCACTGCCGTTGCTGTCGCAGGGCCAGTGAGAAAGTGAATCTTCTTGTCCGTGCCTTGGCGCACACAGACCCATGAATTGCATGCGGTGTATCCGCTGCTGAAGTCAACTCCCTGCTCTGGCAGCAACACGCCCTAGTCAGGTTCTCATGCTGGGCCAAGGCAGGGGACGTTCCTCTTGGGTAATCTACACCCAGCAGGGGGCAGCCTGGAGCATCTGTGGCGATCTCACTTGCCGTGCCAAAGATTTTTTTGTGTGTGGTTCGCCTCTTCCGACGTGACTCCCCTACCTGCGCCCCAGTCATCGTGCCCAGCTCCAAAGCGAAACATCAGCCGAGCAGCCGATCTCCCTGCTCCTCCTCGAAGGGCATCGTCCCACTCCGGGTCTCCGCCTCTCCCCCAAACCTTGGTCCATGCAGCTACCTTTTGAACCGGCAAAGCGGGGCAGAAAGGCTCAGCTGTGCAGCCTGGGTGATGGTATTTTTGGAGAACGACTTCCTCTCTCTTATGGGAACTGAAACAAGCCATTCCTTTAACTGCGAGGCGACACAGTCATAACAAGTCACCAACACTTCCTATTTTCAGGGAGTTGGGGATGGCTCAGCGACGTCTCCAGAGGCTCTCGACTCTCGACTTTAAGCCTGCGGTTGATGGACATGCAGCGCATCACCAGGGTTTCCAGTTACCTCGCGGCTTCGGCTTGACGGCGACGGCCTCGCAGCAGCAACATCTTGCAGGAATCTAAGGCATCCGAAGGCCTAGGCCTAGATATCGTGCTGAATGCAGGGCATTGTTTCGCATGTTTGACACAAACAGGGCGACTCTCCACTTCTGGTGGTCACGCTGCAAGTTTATGGAATACTTGATTGTTGGTAGACGAAATGGGCACCGGGTACCTTGCCGAAATGTGGAAGGCACTTGTTGTGATGCGCTTCAACATGCAACATGATTCAACACTCATGCTGCTGCCCAGGGTACTCTGGAGTCATGCACTCTTCTAGCGACATTCTCGTGATGGACCTCCAAAGACCAGGTCCACAGCTGCTCGGAAGATTTGGACTGGAGTGCTGCTCTGCTACAGTATGCTCTGCTCATACCTGCGAGGGCTCGCCGCCGCTGGCCAAGGGCCCCCATGCATCAAGTCCACGAGTTCGTCGTTGTTGAGGAACGGCTGGCAAGCACTCGGCGCACACGGGAGCCAGAATCCCAACTCAAAAGAGCAAGGCCTTTCTTGACAGCAGCGACCTGGGCAAGCAAAGAGGGGGAGCGAAACCGCAATTGAAGAGCCGTGCTCGACACTACTGATGCTGCTGGAAGACTCCTCGTCCGATGCCTCTGCGGGCTCCTCTCAAGCAGCTCAGTTGTCGAAGGACAGGCTTGGCCCAGCGACTGCGCTTCTGGCCTCCGGAGGCTGCTCTCCGTCAGAGTCGCAGGTGCTCGGCAGAGAAGCGTCGCTGAGCCGCGGCTTCCTGAAACGATTCGACTTGCGACCGCTCAGCCGGGCATGTGGCCCCTCACTCCAGCTCGAAACATCAGCCGAGGAGCTGATCGTCAGCGGTACCGCTCCGGAGCTTCGCGTCCTTGGCCAAACGCCTTGGTCCACGCAACCATCTACGAGTACAGTGAGCCGAGAATAGAGCAAGACTACAAAACTCCGGCTCAAGACTCACATTGCACGAAGGAGCCCCGATGTGAATTTGCAAAGCCCAAATTGTTCAGCGACCAGGTCATGAGTAAGGAGGATTGTGCGGAGTGTGCCGTTCCACTGGCAACATCTCGGATGCAATTGGTTGCACAATTGAGATCACCAGCCGACAAGCTGCCTCTTGTAGTTGCGCATGTGCCGCCTGACCTTTTCAAGCTCCCGTCTCTGGATGCGAAGCCTGAAGGGACTCTGTACGAGGATGCAAACGACGGAGAACAAGCACTGTGGGTTCGCGCCAGGCATGTCCATGAGCGCCTAAAGTTTCAGCAACTTGTTATTGGGACACCTCGTTAGGACTTCAAAGCGTCGAAGCAGGCTGCTGAATGAGACTTGGTCTCCTGTTAACCCGCGTGAAGCTCTATCGAGGTCTAGGAGTGTGGGAAAAGGCAGCAGCCAGTCTCTCAATTCTTCAGCAGCAAGATGCTACTTTTAGTCGCTCCGGGAAGTCTACAGAGGGCACGAATCGAAGCAACTGCAGTTGAGAAGCGCTTCGTGCAGCTGCTCGTTGTCGACCCGAATGGCCTGGTTGTCGCTGCGAAGATCGCTGCACCTGAGTGCCGCTCGCACGTCATGCCTTCCGGCACTGCTTCGCCGTGGGACAACCTTATCCTTCATGCATACTGCTGAAGTACAGCTCGACGACTCGTTCAGCAGCAGAATCTTCTCCTTGCTCAACGTACTGATCTGCTCGACCAGAGACCAGTAAGGTGGCGAGCTCCACCTGAGTCTTCTTTCAAATGGACTTCCATGTAGTTGCCGGAAGCACAGATGCTTGTAACGGGCTGGAAGCTGTCTTTGCAGCTGAGTTTCTTCCGGCACGAATCGTATTCACCAGAGGACGGGGAGTCGTGAAGCCTCGGTCCTGGCGTAGCATTCGGCCACCTTTCCGTGCCACTCGGAGATCCACTGCATGACGTCGGCGACCGTGGCAAGCTCGACCTGAGTCTCTTGCATGGGGTTGCCTGTAGATGCTACCTGATGCAACGGACTGGAACCTGTTTTCAAGCTGAGTCTCTCCGAGGGCGAGTAGTACTCGCCAAAGGACCGGTAGTCATCAAGAATCGGTCCAGGCGGCCACATCTCCAAGCTAGTCGGAGCACCACCGCATGGCATCGGAGTCATGCTGCCGGCTCCGCACAAGACACTGAGACATGTTGCTGTAAGATCTTGGCATGTCATGAGTACCACGGATGCATATATGCAGTGACTTCCCCAACAGGGCTGAGCACTCTGGGGCAACAGGTGCAAATCCAAACGAAGCATCTGCTTTCGCTGCGCGAGCTCACAAGCATAATCAAGCATGCGCAAAGCAGATCACTGAGGCTTGAGCCTTCCTTTGCCCGTGCCGCAGCAACCACTGAACTGGTGGACTATACGGCTCAAGCATCAGAAGCAGACTGCTTCTGATGCTTGAGCCGTATAGTCCACCAGTTCAGTGCACCCGCAACCTTGTTCGAATCCGTGCTGACATGCCCTCAAACCTTACAGCCAGGAAACCCTAAACCCTAAAAGTTCTTCAACAGAAACCTTAGATCGTAAATCGTACACCAACGCGTCAAGCCCCAAAAACCGACATCGTAAACCGTGTAGAACCAGCCCCCAAATTACATCCTAAAGCCTAAACTACTGGGAACTTTAAAACACACCTCTGCCAAAAACCGTTAACCCTGAACCCTCCAACCGAGGCAAGGTCAGAGAAGTTTCCGTTCTTATGGTGGATCCGGGGTGGCTTTGACTCCCAGTGAAACAGCGAACTACAGCATGCTACAATGTTGCAGCGAACGCTTCCGCGACTAGCACCTGCTGCCCACAGCCTTGCAGTCTTCTTCGATTCTCAGATGCCCTGCTCAACACAGCTCTAGGCCCTAGGCAACATCGCTGTCGGTATTGCTATCAAATTCCTGGTGCAGGGCGATTCAGAGTGGCTTGACTTGGTGGTACATGCGGAGAAACTCCAGAAAGCCTCCAAAGGCATGCGCGAGCCATAGAACCGAGGTCGCCCAGGCGGGCGCTTGCAGAATCCGTTGATGAGAGCGACCTGTTCTTGCAGTTGTCAAGGTGTTAAGGCTATAGGCTCGAGACACACCAAGGCCAGGGCTGCGATTGCCAGAAGCCAACACAAACAACCGGCATACAGCAAGAAGTTACCTTTCCCAGCATCTTCCGAGAGTGCTGAACTGAAGGCATGCAGAATCCAATGGCTGCGGCCCTCGTGCCGAGGTCACGGCTTAAGGCTTCTGACTTTCCACCAAGAGCGCTTGGGCTCAACAGTACCTGGCCACACGTAACGATGTGCTGATGTGCTGCACTGCCACGCAGCGAAGGTGCAGCGTGACGGAGAAGCTTCAGCTCAGGCGAGCACAAGGGTTTTTGTGACGTTGAGATGAGACAGGGGGAACCTCATGTTTGACAGGTGCACTGGCGTTCAGCACGCTGTTGCGACTGCCTGTCGTGGATGTGCAGGGTCAGCATCTCGCTTTGGAGAAGGCCAACCTTGACTCAGAATTTGACTGTGGCCTCTATAAAATCGAAAGCTCGTAGAGCCAGGCCTGACTGTCTCGCCAGGAACAGAAACTATGAGCAGTTCGCGGTCCCGACCTGGAACCCTCCAAGCCTAGTGGAACCCGAATCCCCGAACTCGCAGACGCTGCAGCTCGAAGATGCGGCATATGCGGCTACTTCCACAACATGTCACAACGCCCTCCAGAATTTTCCGGCTTCCGGCCACTTGTTCCGGCTCCAAGCAGTCATTCTGATGCTTCCTCACTCTTTCGGCTGCGTGCTGCGTTTGCAGCGCCGTCGAGATGCTTCTGGCTGTTGTTCGTGCTAAGGCTGAGGGTTGAAGGATACTTTGGATATTTCAGGGACTGTGTCTCGAACGAAGGGTGCTGTTGTAGCCAAACAAACCAAGGTCGTGTCGGTGTCCCTCGTGGATAAGTCAGAGACTGCTCCACAACCCCCGCCCACATGCCCCATCGGGAAAGCTGTTTCTTGCCTAGACAGTCGCGATTCTGGCCTTCGATGTATGCTTGTTCTGCAATTTTTGCCCCAACCCACGTTTTGACGAATCTTGAATGTCTTCTAGTCTTGCTTTACATGTCGATGCCATTCCAACATCAACTCCAGCTAGCAAGCCCGTGCAATCTAGCACATGTAACGCACCGCAAACACCAGCCAGAACATGACATCACGGCTGCCAAGACCCTCCTAAGTTTCGGACAACCTTGGACCTGTCGGGATAATCCGGTGGATTTGCCATCCTTGGCCAATTTATTGGGAGCACCATGCAGACGCTGGCAGAGCAGTCAGCAGCCCACCTGCTACGATCTTCGGGATTGCCGACACCGTCTTTGCTGATGTAGAGGACCTGCACAAATCTGCAGTGAAAGCCGGCACGGCTCCCTCGGCAACTGTGGTGCAGGCAGCTCCGTTTCGCCGCAACCTCACACGTATGCTGACAAATGAATTGCGTCTGCACCCTGCCTGACCATACTGGTAGTTGCTGTTTATGTCCGAAGCTCGAAGGTATCGTTGAAAGGCTTGTGGCCTCGACCAGCGCGTCTTAATGCTCGCGGAACTGAAGCGAATACAGCTACCTGCAAGCCGCAGGGGAAAATTACGTCGCCGGTCTCTGTCATTCTCGTGGACGCTTCCGGGCAATGCCTTACTGTGTCGTTCCAGCTAGGCTTGCGGCTTCTGCCGCTCGTCATGGCCGAACCATCTGCCTCCACCAAGCATTTCTTATGCTCCGGCCGCTGGGGGTTGGGTGATGTTGTGCGAATCGAAGTGAACATCAGAAGTCAGTGCGCTTCATGGCTTCCTGCCCCAAGCCGGCCTGTCAGTTCTCCCCATGCACCGGAGGTCGAACCTGGTCGAGCAAGGTGCACATCTGTGCGAGGAAGTCCGCTGATTTGGGCTGGAGGCCTGAAGCAATGTAGGTCGGGAAGTTCTGGTAGAACCTCGTTGACTCGGTCAACACGCGAAGGCCATCATGCAATCTTAAACTCGCAGGCAGGGCGTATTTAAGTCAACGTCACGCATCATGGATTGCATGAAACCTTGTCTGCCAAGCTGCGGATCGAGATGGTAGAGCACACGAACTGGCGGAGGCATGTCCTCGTAAGCCGAAAGTTGGCCCCTAGAGCCGTAGAACGATGATTGCTAAGCTATGGGGCAGCTTGCTGTCCCGACTCAAGGAGACTTGCAAGCTGCACGTGCCAGATGATACGTCGCAGTCGGCCATGTGCTCCACCTCTTCGTGCTGGGCTGCTGGCAAAAGCTCAAGCATCTGAAACTGTCGCCAGTGGCCCGGATCCCACACACGCCAGCCAAGGCGACTGCGGCATCTGCTTGCATCTGAAATGGCACTGAGCCAGTGCGCGCCGCACCGCCATAGCGAATCCGGATCTGGACCAGGTGGCCAAAGGCATGCAGGATTGCTCCACCCTTTACAGCACAGTGCGCTCTCATGGATGAGCTCTGCAGTGTCGCCTCAACCGCGTGCTCCCCAAGCCGCAGGACGGTGAACCCCAAAATCAGCAGCAAACTGCCCACAACCGCTGCTGCCCCCATGACCTCGCAGGCTCTGGAACGGTATTCCCGAACTCAATAAGCCCCACGCTGCAACCCATTTGACTTCCACGTTGGATATGTGCCTTGCCCGGAGTGAAGTCGATTTGAACGCGAGGCAGCTGTTGCTGAGCAAAGCGAGAACCTCGGGACTCTCGTGTACGTCAAGCCGCGACTGCATGTGTAGCCGTAGCCCTTTGCAGCTTTCGGCGGGGGCCCGGGGCGGAGGGCGGCCGAAGGCTTACAGGATTGCGCAAAAAAAGGCACGTCCTCCCACGTCACACAGCAGACACAGCACTCTCGAGATGTCTCGAGTTTCGAGACGTCAAACTGAGGTACTTACGATCAGGGGAGTTCTGGTTGTGAGCCTCAGCGGCACGAACAGTCCCGCAGATACTCAACCGCAGTGCTCAAGCTGAGGTAACTGCCAAGCTGCCTCCCAGCGACTCCTACAAGGAGTACAGTGAACTCCTCGTCGGCTGTTCCCTTGCGTCGGGCCTCCTCGGACGAAGAGTCGCTTTCATTGCAGGCACGAGCCGGTGCCAGTCGCTGAGGCTTGGCCCACAGTTTGCGCCTGCAGGGAGGGGAGCTGCAGGGCCGTGGTGCTCGAGGCGCTTGTGGCCGTCAAACCAGTCGCAGTCCTCCCGATGCCAAAAGTCACCCAGGCGGCATTCTCATTGAGGCGTCTGATCATTGCTCCTCCTGTGCCCATCCACCGGCTCTGATGCCTCAGCGCAGGATGCAGCTTTATGTCATGACCGCAGCACTCTCAGACAGTGCGAGCAGCCGTACATAGCCGTACGAATGCCGAGCAGCACCAGCAACCTAAACCACAAGTGTTCAGCATTTCGATCCATAAAGGAGCCGCATGTGGCCGTGGCTTTACAGAGAAACACAAATCCAATACATGCCATGGCAAGGCGTGGGCGGGGGCGGGCGGCAGGAGGGGAAGGGGAGAGATGGGAGGGGAAGGGCCGCACAAGAGAAAAAGGGTGCGGGAGGGGGGGTGTTGAATGTAGCCTCCTTTCCCGCCATGTTCCCTGACCCAGATGTCCTCTACTTAGTGCTACTGCTACGCTCCAGAGCCCTCGCAACCACGATATCTCGGCAAAACACGGCCGAGAGACCTCTAAACCAAACCTCAAACACCCCTCCTTCAACGTTCCGGCCGAGCGCTATAGTTTTCTGATGTTCCTCGAACCCTCCTCCCTGGTGCCGTGCTCGCCGAGGTGCGATGCAGACGGCCCAGCCGGCGCACAACGGACATTCGGGCAGTCGAAAGATTCGAAGTTGGCAGCGAAGGCTCAAGGTTTACGTAGTGCACTATAAATATGGGCTTAATATGGGCCGGGCAACAACTGCAGATATGGGAAGCTCTAACATCAAATGTCCCAATGTGCAGCTACATGCCAGCATCCACGCCTGTTGCTTTGTCTCGTTGGGGTGCAGTGATTGAAACTCACTGAAGGAGCCTGCATCATACAATGTCACATAGGTGGTGCATTCTTACGCTACCGCGTTAGCGACCCGTCAAACAGCTTCCCAAAAACTTGAACACCAAGATCCCTGCAGCCGAATCCTCGATAATACACTCGGAGCTGCCAACTTAGCTGAACCTAAGTTGGCGACATTCATCAGTACCATGCTCACTCTAGAGGCCTTAATATTGCCTATCATGCTTTGGGGGGTGCCTTATTATAGTTATAATATAATCGACCCCAAAACCCTATTCTAATTATTAAGGCCCATTATTACACAGAACCCGGCTGAAAGCTTTCGAAGCATCGTTGCTGTGCCTTGAGGTTCCTGTGGAGTTGTGCGGCTTTTGAGGACTCTACAGGGCTTAGCGTAAGATATCTGGGCCTTAATACCCTGGACCCTGAAAACCTTTTCAATGACTTATATATACAAGGAAACCATAATAAAAAAACATTAAAAAAGTAGGTTATTTGGGGTGAAGGTCGGGTTTACGTTCAGGGTTCTTTTTTTTTGAACCGTCGTCCGAAAGCTGCAGCAAGGAAGGGCACCGATTGGGCATCCGGGATTACACCTGATACTTCAGCAACAACCACTCAACCTAACATGGATGCACAAAGTAGCAAGTAGTCTCACTCTCCCCCGGACCTGCCCAAGTAACACTGATGCCAGCAGTCGTGAGCACAGCAGTCCGCAGTTGGATACCCCATTCACACCTACAACACTACAGCCTCATGGAAACCCAAAACGGTAACTGCTGCCAGCACTGCATTCCTGATCACGACCATTATGCAAACGATCAGGCTGAGTGAACTCAAAACCTTCGCTAACCACAGGAAGATTCTCAACTGTGGCCCAAATTCATAGGCAGGCTTCTGTGGTACTTTGCAACACTTATCCACGAATCTTTCACGTCTTATGAGCCGAAAACTCGCAAGCCACTCCCTACCACAGAACTGCCCAAGAAGCTCTCGCTGACAGGCTTTAGGGCTTATGCGGTTGAGCCGTGTTCTTGTCTAACATAGTAGCTCAGTGAGTAACCCTTAACCGTTTATATATCTGTACCATAGTTGAAGAGCTGAGCTTTTTTTGGGCTAAGGTATTCAGCCCCTAAATATAGGGTTTGGGGTTTGGAGCCGGTGCTCACGTACTATGGTATCGATATTTTCAGGTCTCCTAGGAACAGACTTATTGCTTACTCAGGCTTCTATATTGCATGATGCCCATGATCACGTGGCTCACGCGCTTCCCAGGCCGGCCTGCAGGAAGAAACAGCACATGTGTATGTATGTGTAGGAAATAAACTAGAAGACAATTGGCCCGAAAGCATCATCAGCGAAGAGTGTTGCGCTACGTCATAGAATCCAGTGTATAGGGTCATAGAGACACCGAGTCAAAAGCACGGAGTCACAGAGTCGGAGTGTCACATACAGTCAAGAGTCGAACAAGTCATAGTTCATAGAGTCATCGAGAAACAGAGTCGAGTACATGTCAAGCACAAGTCATAGTTCAAAGAGTCATAGAGTCATATAGAGTCATAGAGTCACAGTGAGACAGAATCATAGAGTCATAGTGTTATAGAGTCATAGCGTCAGAGTGAGAAAGAGTCATAGAGTCATAGAGTCATCTATGTACCACGCACTTGACTTGATGTAGTTCACTCTATGAACACTAATGTTCAGGTTTAGCGGGTTTAGGGTATAGTCCAACATGACGCAGAAGTCTTCCTTTCCTAGCTCCGGAACCTCACTATATAGACATCCCTGATTACTGTGGTTTCAACGTGACTCTATGACTCTATGCATGGTCACTTTATGTCGCAGCAGTAGTAGTAGTAGTAGTAGTAGTAGTAGCAGTAGCAGTAGTAGTACTAGCAGTACCAGTACTAGTAGTAGTGATAGTAGTGGTAGTCGTAGTAGTTGTAGTAGTAGTCGTCGTCGCGTAGTCGCAGTCGTGGTCGTAGTAGTAGTAGTAGTTGTAGTTGTTGTAGTTGTAGTTGTTGTTGTGGTACTAGTAGTAGTAGTAGTAGTAGTAGCAGTAGCAGTAGCAGTAGTAGTGGTAGTAGTAGTGGTAGTAGTAGTAGTAGTAGTAGCAGTAGTAGTAGTAGTAGTATTCTTTTGTAGTAGTGGTAGTAGTAGCAGTAGTAGTAGTAATAATAGTTGTAGTAGTGGTAGTGGTAGTAGTAGTACTAGTACGAGCTCGAACACTCGACAACGCCAATTTCTGTGAAGGGTTGCAAGTTTCACCTCAATGCACATCAAAAGTAATAACTTTGCCTCGCGTTCGAACACTCGACAACGCCAATCTGTGTGAAGGGTTGCAAAATTCATCTCAATGCACAGCAAAAATTGCAACTTTACCTCGCGTTCGAACACTCGACCACGCCAATCCCTGTGAAGGGTTGCAAAATTCATCTCAATGCACATCAAAAAATGCAACTTTGCTTCGCGTTCGAACACTCGACCACGCCAATCCCTGTGAAGGGTTGCAAAATTCATCTCAATGCACATGAAAAATTGCAACTTTACCTCGCGTTCGAACACTCGACCACGCCAATCCCTGTGAAGGGTTGCAAAATTCATCTCAATGCACATCAAAAAATGCAACTTTACCTAGCGTTCATGCATTCGACCATGCCAATCCCTGTGAAGGGTTGCAAAATGCCAATCCCTGTGAAGGGTTTCAAACTGCAGTTGAGCTGCGCCCAAACCCTGTGAAGGGTTGCGCGGCGCCCGCAAAATGTGTAACTTTACCTCGCGTTTGAACACCCGAGGAGGCGAATCCCTGTGAAGGGTTGCGCGGCGCGCCTAAAATGTGTAACTTTACCTCGCGTTTGAACGCCCGAGGAGGCGAAACCCATGGGAAGGGTGCGAAGCGCACCGCAAAATGTGTAACTTTACCTAGCGTTTGGGCGCTCGAGAGTTCCAATCCCTGGGAAGGGTGCGAAGCGCACCGCAAAATGTGTAACTTTACCTAGCGTTTGGGCGCTCGAGGAGGCGAATCCCTGGGAAGGGTGCGAAGCGCACATAAAAATGTGTAACTTTACCTCGCGATTGAACGCCCGAGGAGGCGAATCCCTCTGAAGGGTTGCGCCGGGCGCCTAAAATGTGTAACTTTACCTCGCGTTTGAACGCCCGAGGAGGCGAATCCCTGTGAAGGGTTGCATTCCCGATGGACGACGACGGTGCCACCCCTGGCTTTAGAAGAGAGAATTAGATACCGAGATGTAAAGAGTAAGTCATAGAGGCATAGAGAGTCAGTCATAGAGGTCAAGTAAGTAAGTAAGTAAGTAGAGTGGAGTAAGTAAGTAAGTCGTAAGTAAGTCGTAATAGAGGTCAAGTAAGTAAGTAAGTAAGTATAGAGATAGCATAACATAGAGTCAAGTGTCAAGTAAGTAAGTAAGTAGAGTGAAGTAAGTAAGTAAGTAAGTCGTAAGCATAACATAGAGTCAAGTGTCAAGTGTAGAGTCAAGTATCATAGAGTTCAAGTAAGTAAGTAAGTAGAGTGAAGTAAGTAAGTAAGTAAGT